CTCTGAGTTGGGAGACCTATGTTTGGAGGAGCAGTAACTTTCTACCTAGAGTCTCTGGAAATGTAAGGAAACATTTCTGACAGCCCAACATTTATAAGCCTGTGGAATCTGACCGGATTCACTACCCGAATGCTGAAGTAGTTACTGGATGTTATAGTTGGACTCTTCTCAACAGTTTGCCAAGGGATCAAGGACGGGTAACGTCAGTAGTTCACAAAAACATCAGTGTGTAGACCTGCTAACAACCCTTCTCTTCTAATGAGATAATGGACTGTATTGGTTGAATTAAACATGCAGAGGGAATAAACTGATCCTGTTCACTAATTAATTACTTGCTTTTATCACTTAGGAGCATTTTAACTGCATGATCCAGGGAGGAGATATAAAACAGCTAATTAGTTCAGAGAGGCAGTCTGTCCTGCTGCTTTAGTAATGAGGAATTCACTCTTTTGATTTTCTTTAGTTGATGGAATTCCATTCAAATACTAGGTATCAATTTCTGTGTAGTTCTTTAGAGGTGGAGTCCTTTGAGAAAAGTTTAAGGTTTATGTCTTCTCTGATGGATACGAATCCAGATGGTAACAATTCTCAGCACAGAGGAATTGCTTCTACTTTCACTTTGACTTGCTATTGAATTCTTAGTAAAAGCCTTACATGAGCTCTCTCTAGCAGTTTCAGCATATTCAACCTGTGTTAGTGACTTGTAGTCATTGCCTTGTTTGCATTTAAGGAGCTGCTTAAAACTCAGATCTCTGATTTACAAATCAATTTTTATTTTTTAGTTGTTGGGGAAAAAATTTGTTTCTGATAGCGCTATGAACTTCCATAATTATGATATTAAACAGTGATAGTCATAGCTTCTCTTTTAGTAAGGAACTTGTTCTATAGCAGCTCCATGTAATTTGTGCCTAATTTGTAGAGCTTTCACAATGTGAATTAAGGAATATTTGTTGATTTTCTGTGTTTAAGATGCATGCTGATTTTATGGAATTGCTGCAGCAACTAGCAAATGCTGCATGGGAAAAAAAACAATGTCCCACATGCAGAGAGAGGCACCTAATTCCATGCAATTATATCTGCACTTTTTCAGGATGTTTGCTTTAGGGACCATTCAGGAGAAGAAAGTGAAACAAATAGAACGTTGATTTCTCTTTGTATGTTTTTTACAGGCTATCTAGAAAGTGTGAAGAGTTACTACAATATCTAACTGAAATGATCTGTAATAGAAATTATCTGTAATGACTTCATAGCTCTTTCTGTCACAGGCATTATATGTATACATGCCATGTACACATGTCACTTATGTCATGCGCCGTACATAACAACTCTTGAATGAAACCCCATTGTGTGTACTTTGTATGGAAGGTTACGATGCAAAGGGTTTTCTTTAAACTCACTCCATATCAGTGTTATATTGGAGCTTTTTCCGTATATCGGTATCAAATGGAATGAATTAGAATCCTGGAATCTGAAAAAAAATTAAAGCTGTAACTTAGTATTTCATATTACTTTTTAAAATATCCTTTAATTTTTTTTTCAGATTCTCACTATAAATTCTGTAGTAAATCATAGTGATTATTTGTCTCATATTGGGATAGGAAAATATGAATATCATCTTTATGTCAGATATGAGGAGAAGAAGTGCAGAAGTTGCTTGGAATATGTTGAAAAATCATAGCAACCTCTCAGAATAAAAAGGAAAAACATGAGGTGGCTACTGTAATATGTTTTAATATGCTCTTAAGTGTGCAAATACAAATAGGAACTCTGGATGATTCAGTAGATGAAGGAGATGTAAAATGAGAACAGAACTGCTAACAAGATACTCTAACTTTCAGGGCCATTATAAGACATGGGAATGAAATAATAAAATAGATAAACAGATTTAAGAAATTACAAGAGAGAAGGGAGAAAAGAACCTGAAAAACAAGTTTTCAGTGGATGTAATTTCAAAACCTGGGACTGTTGAAGGTGGACCACTGAGAATTATACTGTACTCATACTGTTTTATCCCACCGAATGGTAAGGTACTAGAGGTGCAAAGGAGTAGAATTTTTGGTGGGGTTGTCACATCCCAACTGTGTGGAGGGAGGAATGACAGATTTGCAAATCCCCATGGTTAGATTAAGGTGAAATAACACTAAATGTGTGTACACAAACATCAGCTTTAGTGGGAGATTTCTAGAAAACAGCTACCCTGCAGTCATTGGCTCTCTTACAGGTGCGTCTAACTAAACTGTGTGGATTTATGAAAAATCAAAGTAAGCTTTGCATTACTTAGCAACTTTGAGAGGAAAAACATAAAGATCAGGGGATAGGGGAGTACCCATCTTGGATGCAGCATTGGACCTGCCAATGAGGCTGTTCTGTGTAGAGTCCCTCCTAGACTTGCACATGCTTCTGTTTACTGGCCCAGTTCCTGGACTTCTGGAGCCTTTTCTTGCTCCAGTTCCAGAACTGGTTGAGTGACAAGAGGCCTCTCCTCATGACTTGGCTCTTGCTAAGCATTGTACTGGACCTTTCTTTCAGCTCAGTTACAGGAGTGGCTGAGATACAGTCAAGGGAAGATTAGGTTCATCCCCATGGCTAAACTGTCTTGTGTGGGGCTCATCACTTACAGATAGCAATAAAAATTCTTCTGTGTGTGATAGATGGGTAACTGACAAAAACAAAGCATCAACAATTTGCCCAGAAAGATTGATGGTGAGCTTGACAGTTGTGTCCACCCTCACAAGTTGCAGTCTATTAGCTAGCCACTGGCCCGTGATTCCTCCCTTGGAGCTTGTATACAGGATGTCAGCTTGAATAGTATCATTCTGCAACCCACTCCTAAAAAATAGACAGCTTGAAAATCACTTCCACGAAGCCAACACTTCTATATCTGTGGTCTTTTAGAAGATCTAGTGTTAATTTATGTATGTCTAGAAGGTAGTTGCAAACTTTACCCACCTTCTCGTATTCCAGTTTGATTTTCTTGGAAATGTAACAGGAGATTTTTAGTAATAATGTCAAACACTTCTTCTAGATGATCCTAAAAGATAAATAAAATTGTCACACATGAAACAGACAAGAACTGTGGGAACTGCATTAAGCTTTGCAGGCATTATACTATTTACTATATATTTTCCCTTAAGACAAAACCTCAGTGTTCAGCTTTCTCTGAATCTTACTCGGAACTGGTTTAAATGCTGATCTGACTCAAGTAAGGAGATGTGCGTGGTTTTAACTAACTCTGTAAATTTTCTTTCACATATAACATACTCCTTATAGCAACTGTCACAAGATCTAGACTAAATGGAGTAAAATGGTTAAAAAAAAAAAAAAAAAAAAAAAAAAAGCCCTTAGATGAAATATAACTGGAACCTCAGCCATAAATACTGGGAATGTCATGGTGATACATTTTAATTGAATATAAGCAGTAACAAATTGATACTGGAACTGAGCAATATCCCATACTAACATTAAACTATATACAGTGGTACATGTTGAGCTGTTCTAGATATTTGTTCATATTTTCAGCTGCAAACTATGATTTCAGATGTGTTTTTAAGGAGCGCAGTTTCCTTAACTGCAAGAATAACTGAATTTGTAATAATGTAGCATGGCGCTCAAGAGGCATAAATTATCTTACTGGCAGCAAAGCTGTGTGAGTCAGCTGCAATTTAAATGTTCAGATCAAATTTAATGATTACCTACAAACAAAGGCTCTGTATGTAGCAAATAATGCGGTGCAAAATCAGTATGCATCAATTGATCAAAATAGTTGTAGACATAGGAACTCTAACACCTGTATATATGGATCAAGACTTTTACTTAAAGATTTAGTTCAGACCAATGTCCTGAGTGTCATTGCCATGCAGAGAGCTTCGAGCTGTTTGTCACTGGTTCAGACTTTTCTTCCTGCTGTAAGTATGGACACAAATTTGGTGCACGCTTTGGCAGAGTTCCAGGTTAGTTTCCTTCAAAAATAATCTAGTTTCCATGCTCCAAAATCACTCTTCAAAAGCAATGAATGTCCATTAAGTGTGCACAGGGGATTCACTTCAAAATGGCTACAGCTCCAATCTAAAATGTGAAAGCTAACGTAGTTATTTCCCATGTAATATTAGCTATCTAAGGTAAAAGTATCCTCTGTATATTTGTTTTAACAATACTTTGCCAGGGAATTGTAGCTACTGTTACAATTCAATCCTATTAACATGTTTTTCCTCCAAAAAACTTGGTATGTATTTTGTTACACTGAGTGGAATTATAGCAGGCATTATTCACTATTTTAATATAATGTGAAATTATTCAATGTAATAAATGTATACTGCATTGATAATACATTATTTTCATGTATTTGTATCTCAAACATGTGCTACACAGAAGCTACATTAGATCTTCTATCAGATATTACTACAGCCTCTCTCCTAATCTAGAAGGTTGTATTTGAGATGAGAGAGAGAAAGGGAGGTTGTTGATTTTTTGAGTTTTTCACCTGTCACTGAGCCAAAATGCCTTTTCCTGTAATACTGAGTAGCTTTATTTTTAATGGCAATTCTAATTATAACACATGTAAGGTGTAAGAGCTAGTTCACTGTTTTTTCTTGTTTTTTTGGTTTTTTTTCAGTGTCTTTTATAACTGTGGGAAGATGTTTTAGGCATGTACTTGGAATTCTGTTTCATTTCACACAAAATCTGATCTGCTAACATGCAGATTTGCTTCTCCATTCAGCTGCTCCTTCCTCCTCACTGCAATCCTTCTCCCATGTTGGCTCCCCTCACACTGCCATCCCTTCAGAAAATATCCACCTACTCTCTGGTGGTCTCCCCACAGGCTTCTGAAAGCCTGATCTGTGTGGTGCCACACTCACTTTCATTGGCAAATTGAGCTGTAGTAGAAAAGACTTGCTAAATGGTTTCATGTTTTTCTTTACATTTTCCCTGACTCTTAAGTAGGTTTAAAGTAGATTTAAATATGTAAAAATGTGGAGTTAATGTTTCTTGTTCTAACCTAGGGATCTGGCTGCAAGGAACTGCTTGGTGGGTGAAAGCAACATACTGAAAATAAGTGATTTTGGAATGTCTCGTCAAGAGGATGATGGAGTATATTCATCATCGGGCTTAAAGCAGATTCCTATCAAATGGACTGCCCCAGAAGCCCTCAACTACGGTAAGGATGTATCTGTGACCTCCCCGCAGAAAGTACCTGCAGTACAAGAAGTAGAAGGGCTATCCCATCCACAGTATTTTAGTATATATATGGTTTTTCCTTGTATTCACGTCAGGTCAAAAAGATTTAAAATACTTTAGTGGTTCATCATATTTAAGTGGTATATAAAATACTGTTCTACTTTTGAAAGGAATAAGGCAGCAATTTGCTGCTCTTATGTTATTACCGAGCACTAAAATAATGCTCTGGCTGTGCTGCCGACTGGTTCTAGCAGACTGATTTGTTCATCATCTGAATCATTACCAAAATTGCTGGCAGGTTCTGCAAATTTATGGCAGTGATTGCTCTAGCATTTCTTTGGAAATGGTAGAAAATGTTAATATTCCGTGTTAGGTAAATCATTGCACTTGAGAAAAATGAAGACTGCTTTATATTTTTTCAACTTTAGCTTTTTTTTTTTTTTTTTTTTTTTTTAACCTGCACTTTTGTATAATGCTGTGCTGCTCTCACTGGGGGAAATCCATTATTTCTGATTAAGGAAGGTGGTCCATACTATGTATTTCAGATGCAAAACAAAAATAGAAACTGTAGCATTTAGCTTTTTAACTTGTGAGTGAAACTAGAAAATACAATTTTCTAAGTGCAATGAAATGTGAAGAGTCAGCATATTAAATGGATGATGTCATATTTTGAATTCAGTCCTCTTAGCCAGATCTTTATTTGAGTACTTAGAAAAACATGTTTTAAATACTTGAATTGAAATGTCTACAAATATTTTTGGCCATCTCCTAAAGCTTGAGTTTAAAGTCCTGCATTGGAAATCATAACTTTGCAACTTGACAGGAAAATGCTTGATTTAATTAGCACTTTTACAGAAGTTAATGCCATAATACAGTAAAGCAGAGATGTCCTTTGTAAGGCTAAAAATAAATGCAGTTTCAAAAATTGATCCTATATTACCAGTTATTCTCTGGAGTGCTAGTGTTGCTGGTGGTCACTGTGGAATACACTTTCTATTCTGGTGTTTGTTTGTTGCACTACAAGAGGTGTTTTGAAAGCTTTATTTTACTGTTTCAAAACTACACACAGTGTATTTGATATAAAATGGAAGCCCGTTGCTCGTAGTCTGATGCTGTGTTCCAGTGAACTACATAAAGTAGGAAACAGTCTTATTATCAATACCTTAATTCATGCTCTGAGACTTTTCTGCAGATTACAGGAGAAGAAAGTGCAGTTGATTAAAATCTACTTATATGGTGTTTCCTAAAATGCACCTGTACCCAACCAGCTTGAAGTAGCTTTCTGTGGTGTTGGGAAAATCAGCGAGTTGTTACAGCAGCACAAAGTCTAGTTGGAGGCCTGCAACTAAGAGTGTTCCCCAGAGGTCAGTACTGGGTTATCCTTATCAGTGACCTGGATGAAGTAATACACTGCACCATCAGCAAGTTTGCAGATGATAGAAAGCTAAGAGTAGTTACTGACACACCAAAAAGATGTGCTGCCATTTAGGGAGACCTTGGCAGGGTAGAAAGTTGGGCAAAGAGGGACCAACAAGGGCAAAAGTGGAGTCTTAAACTTACGGGGAGGAGTAACCATCTGCATTAGTATGGTTTAGGGGGCTGACCTGCTGGAGAGGAGCTCTGCAGAGGTGGATTTGGGTGTCCTGATGGGCACCAGGTTGGCCTTGAGCCAGCAGTGTGCCCTTGTGGCCAAGAAGACCAGTGGCATCTTGAGCTGCATTGAAGAGAGCTTGGTCACCAGGTCAGGAGAGGTGCTCCTCCACCTCAATCCTGCCTGGGGAGGCCACATCTGGAGTACTGTGTCCAGTTCTGGAATCCCCAGTTCAAAAAAGAACTTCTTGAGAGAGTCCAGTGGAGGGCAACAAAGATGATGAAAGGCCTGGAACATCTCGCATACAAGGGAAAGCTGAGTAAACTGGGTCTCAGTGCAGACAAAGGAAGACTGAGAGGGGATATGATAAATGCTTATAAAAATCTGAAGTGCAAGGGTCAAGTCAGTAGGGGTAGACTTTTTTTGGTGATGTGCAGGAATAGAACAGGGGACAATCAGCAGAAGCTGGAGCACAGAAATTCCATACTAACACAAAGAACTTCACTGTGAAAGCAAGCGAAAACAATGAAATCAAAACACTGAAACCGGCTGCCCAGAGAGATTGTGAAGTCCCCTTCTCTGGAAATATTCATGATCTGTCTGGATGCCTACCTGCGCAGCCTGCTGCAGGGGTTCTGCTTTAGCGGGGTGGGGCGAGGGGGTTGGACTTGATCCATCCAAACTGTACAATTTTGTGATTCTGTGAAAATAAGCCATCTTAAATGTTTTTACTTTCAGCAGTCTAATATATGATATTCAAAAAGCGGTGGTAGGTTTCTGGGTATTTTTGAAGGACTATATTTTCTACTCCCTTTAAAGATGCAAGTAAAAATGATGGCTAAGTGTTTTACAATCCTGATAATGTGGTCCTTTATGCTGCATTATTTTGTGTGGGTAACACTGAAGGCATTTATGAATACCAGACTGAACAGAACTAAATGTTCTGTGACTCAAAGCTAGTTGGAACCACTGTTCATGTTGGTTCTTTGAGGAAAAGTGTAAGAGTTGGGAGAAAAAGAAAGGTAGGGAAGTTTGGCCATTGCCTGAATGATACAGTGCTTAAGAAAATAAGAAAAGAGAGATTTTTAATCTCTTTTGGTTTCACTGTAAATAAAAAATGAATAGCAGTCACACACATACACACACACACAAAAAAAAAAAAACAAAAAAAAAAAAACTAAAGTTGTGATCTTTAAACTGGATTAGGAAAAATGGAGGGGTCAGGGAGCTGTGTCTGAAGTCACAACTGAAATCCTGATGCTACTGGAGCTTGTGGAAGATTCAGCATTTATTTCAGTGGTCACTGTTTAGTGCCATTCCTTACTGTTATTCTTATTTGTGGTTATATGATTTCCACCCCTTCCAGCAAGTGAAAAAAATGCTTTAAAACCTCCTTGTAAATAGACCAAGTATAGGATATTCTTGCTTTCTGTTCTTTCGTAATTAATGTATACATTTAATATACACTTATTATAACTTTGTGCTCTAAATTACTGCACTGTGTGGTGTTTTTTTGTGAATGAATAAGCCTTTTTTTTTTTCTGCTGGATAGTAGCACACTTGGAAGGCAAATTAACTGTACAGAACACTTATTTCTTCTTTTTTTTAAAAAAAAAAAAAAAAAAAAGCTCATCACATATCTTGTTTACTGAATGATTTTAAGAAAAAATGTTAAAATTATTGGATGCCAAACTCTGAAGAGAGTTGATATACAGACAAGAAAACTAATCTTACTATGAAGAGCACAGTGAATGTCCATAATTACTATCTACAAGGCACACTAGCTAATATAACACAGCTGGAAGTGATACTTAGTTTAACAGTAAACTGAACTTTCTGACGTCAGAGCAGTTGACTTATCACCAGCTGTCTCTAATTTACATGTATTTTATTTTCCCTTTTTTGTCTAGCCAGAGGTGGCTTAGTTTGCTTAATCTAATGGTTGGAGATGAGAAACAGTACATTCATAAGCATGCATGTATTTTTAAGACCGAAGATACACATACAATGCAATAATATGTTACAGAAATATAAACAGAAAATTGATGAAAGAACTGTGAGAGGTGGATTTTTAAGGTAACATTTTCACAGATCATGCTACAAAGGGCCTGGATCCTTCACTTTCTGGTGCAGTGCCTCTTTTAATGTGAATACATCAGAGCCAATGATCCAAGATCTCTTCTTCCATAAAATCAGGTTTTCATTACACAGAGAGGTTTGGAAGTCAGTTATCAAAGTTTGCTATCTTAGAAGGATAGTTGGAGACAATGGAACGAAGCAGGTCCAGTTTTTTACTTTTTTTTTGACTGATTGGTTGCATCAGTTCTTCAGTATCAAATTAAACAGGAGTTGAAGTCCTTTTGTATTAAAAGATTTTTTTTTTTTACAGCAAGAGGTAAGTAATTCTTAAATTACCAGCAAAATAATTGATATGGTAAGGCTATTTCAACCATGTGCTTTGTGTAGCAAGTCTATTTGTCAAACTTCTTAACACTTAAAGTTGGCTTTTACTATAGTTATTGTACTCAAGATAATATATAATTTCAAATACTGAAGACTGTGGTATTTACAGTGTGTTTATTTTTAGCTACAGCTCTGTTCAGCTTAAAGATTCCCAATATAATACTTTATAAAAAAAACAGTATCTGGAATCACCTGAAGAATGAATTTCTCTGTAGACTAAGCTGTGGGTTTTCTCCTTTTCTTAGGGAGATACACATCAGAGAGCGATGTATGGAGCTTTGGAATCCTTCTGTGGGAGACATTCAGTTTAGGAGTATGCCCGTATCCTGGAATGACCAACCAGCAAGCACGAGAACAAGTTGAGAAAGGTAGGGAGTGAAAGAAATGCTATTTACACCCATGAGGATGTAGTAGACAAAGAAAGATAGCAAGTAAATAATATCTGGAATTATTTATCTGGAATTAGCTATCTGGAAATGTTAGCAAAAATATTGTGAAATGATTTATTTGATAATTCTAACAAACATAGATGTGTATTAAAAATGAAAAGGAATATATTGATGTAAAGGAGGAACTTCTAGTGCATTATATGTATGCATAATATATAAAACATACATGTGTGTTACTAAAAGGTAAGATGAAGAGAGGGTGAATTTACTGCTATGCAAAGCAGAGGCTTGAGCAGAATGAATTATTTAAGATTATGCTAATGCACCTATAAATATTCTAAACTACTAGAAGAAAAAAATCTGTATCTTTCCATCTTCTATATTAAAGTATTTCAGACAAAGTTTTATCAGTTACAGAGGAAAATGGTAAGCTGCTTGAGCCATGAAAGCTGCATTTCTCCCCTACAAAATAATCAAAAGACTTTTATTAAAGTAGCAAATAACCATGAGCGGGATTTCAGGACTTTGATGTATTTTCATCATATTTAGTGACATTTCAGAACTCTATGTAGTACTACTATGTAAAACAGATTCTAAATTAGTAAGACTGGTAATTGATTTTTAAAAAGCGTAGTTTGGTGGTGGCGTGGTCACTGTTGTTGATTATTATCACTGTAGATGACCACCAAAGCTTATCCTTAAAAGGCTAAAGCAAAAATTCAATCTTTGTCAAAGCAGAGACATATATGTAAAAATAAGTTTTACTACCTAATTACTGTTTGAATCCACTGCAAAGAAATTGGTCCAGATGAAAAATTAGGAAGTATTTTTTTGCCTTTCTAGTTTTTTTGTACTATGGAAAAACATTCCTGATGGCCCATCAGAAATTCTCTTTCAGTTTTTCTTCTAGAATTATCATTCCTTGTATCACTATGTTTTTCTGGTTTTCACAAAATTACAGTTCATCTGTTAGGATAGTCAGCTAGGATATTCCAGACTTTCTTCCTGATTTATCTGTCTCAATTCCTCAATCAGTATGAGTCATCAGTACATTTAGTTGCTTGAATGCTTACAATTAAATCAGAATAATTTAAATCCCAAATTGAGTATATAGAATCACTTCGCTTTAGAGACAAAAAGTAGTTGCTGCCATCACTGTTTTGAAGAATTAGTTTATAGGGACAACTTCATGAAGGAAAGCATTTTAATGTGGCTTCATATTATCTGTGTGTCTTAGAGCTCATTCGTTCTCCTTTGAAGTTACATGGATCAGTCTTGCATCTAGAGCAGACACATGTACTACAAAAAAAATCAAAATCAGTTCTTTGATTTACCCGTTGTGTGAGTATAGTGTCATTTATACTCTGCTTTACAAAGAGAGAGATTTCTAAAGTAAGCCTGTCGTCACAGAGCTGTGTTAGCTGTAGAACACTGTGTGCCAGCCCATTGTGCTGTTCTCTGCCTGTAATTAACCCTGAGAGCTGTATTTGGTAAACAGTTCACAGAATGACAGAACATCTGAGGTGGACAAGACTTCTGGGTCCCGTGTGGTCTCCTGTTCAAGTAGGGTCACTCAGAGCACGGTGCCCAGGACCAGGTGACTTCAGGAGATCTCCAGTAAGGAGACCCCACAACCTCTCTATACAGCCTGTGCCAGTGCTCCATCACCCACATAGCACAGAAGTGCTAGTTGATTTTCAGAAAGAGTGTCCTGTGTTCCAGCTTGTGCCGACTGCATCTTGGCCTGGCATAGTACAACCCTGAAAAGAACCTGGATCCATCCTCCCTTCAGGTATTTGTACTCAGTGGTGAGATATTCCCTGGAGCTCTTTTCTTCACCAGGTTGAATCCAAGCATTTTAAGCCTTAACTTAGAGGAGAGATGCTTCAGTCTCCTCAGTCTTTGTGGCCCTCCTCAGGACTCTTTGCACTCTGTTCAAGCTCTCTTGTGGAGGAGGGCTCAAAAATGGACCCTACTCTCCACATGTGGCCTCATTCACCAGTGTTTAGAAAAGAAAAAGGATTATGTCCCTCCATCTGATGGCAGTGCTTTGCCAAACAAGGCAAAGTATCCCACTAGCCTTCTTTACCACAAAGGTACTTGGCGTACGTACTTCTGTCTGGCTCACATTCAACTTGGTGTCCACCAAGAACCTTGAGGCCTTTTCTACCAAGATGCTTTCCAGATGGGTTGTCCCAGCATGTTCTGGTACCAGGGGTTGTTACTCCCCAGGTACAGGACTCTGCACATCTCCATGTAGAAATTTATAAGGTACATTTTTCCAGCTTTTTGAATTTCCTCTGGATGGCAGCATGGCAGTGGTATGACAGCCATTCCTCCCAGTTTTGTGTCACCTGCACACTTGCTGAGGGTACACTCTGCCACAAGATCCAAATCATTAATGAAGATGTTAATCAGTCCCCATCACTGAGCCCTGGTGTATTTCTCTAATTACAGCCCTCCTAGTTGACTGTGTGCCTTCCTCTAGGCCTGACTATTCAGCAGATTTTCAGTCCACCTGTCTGCACATTCATACTGTATTTCAAGTGCTTCTCCATTCAGATCTACTGGGATGTATTGTTAATAGCCTCACTGAATGAGCCAGCCGTGTGCAGCCCAGAAGGCCTACTGTGTTCTGGGCTGCATTAAAAAAGGGGTGGCCAGCAGGGAGAGGGAGGTGGTTGTCCCCCTCTAATCTGCTCTTGTGAGGCCCCATCTGCAGCACTGCGTCCAGGCCTGGGGCCCCCAGTACAGGAAGGACGTGGAGCTCTTGGAACAGGTCCAGAGGAGGCACTGAGATGATCAGAGGGCTGGAGCACCTCTCCTGTGAGGAAAGGTTGAGGGAACTGTGCTTGTTTAGCTTGGAGAAGAGAAGGCTCCAAGGAGACCTCATTGCTGCTTTACAGTATTTGAAGGGAGCTTATAAACAGGAGGGAGAACAATTGTTTAAATTGTTGGATAGTGACAGGACAAGGGAGAATGGTTTTAAACTGAGACAAGAGGGGTTTAGCTTACATATTAGGAGGAAGTTTTTTCACTCAGAGAATGGTGATGCACAGGAACAGGTTGCCAAGAAGGCTGTGGATGCCCCATCCCTGGAGGCATTCAAGGCCAGGCCGGATGTGGCTCTGGGCAGCCTGGTCTGGTGACTGGCGATCCTGCACATAGCAGGGGGGTTAGAACAAGATGATCATTGTGGTCTTTTTCAACCCAGACCATTCTATGATTCTATGAAATCCCTTGTTCTGTCTCCTACAAATATGATGATTTCATCACAAAGACCTTCAGATTGACTAACTACTCCCACTGACTTTGTTATCCTTCATGTGCATGGAAATGGTTTCCAGGATTAGCTGCTCTGTGATTCATGTGAAGCTGACATACCTGTAGTCACTGTGTGCTTCCCTCCCTTCCTGAAGATAGGAGTATCATTTGCTTTCCTCCTTGTTCTTGGATGTTTTCTCCAGTCCTCTTGATCAATCAAGTACTATCAACATTGGCCTCTTGGTGACATCTCCGTCAGCACTTGCGGTTGCTTCTCATCAGATTCTATGAACCTACATATGTCCAGTGTGCTTAGGTATTCTCTGACGTGATCTTCTTCCACCATCTTGCTTATTTCTTGCTCCAGACTTCTCCTCTTGTCCTTCAGGCCTAGGATTCCTGAAAGCCAGTCTTGCTGGAAAAGACAGAGGAAAAGAAGGGATTCAATTCCTCAGCCTTTGTCCCAACATCCTATGCCTTCTTGAGCAGTGAGCTTACATTTTCCCTAGCCTTTGTTTTGCCATTTGTGTACTTATCAAAGCCCTCCTTCTTGCTTTTGACATCCCTGGCAGGGTTCCACTCTTGCTGGGATTTTGTTTTCCTAACCTCAGCTTAGGTGCTTGGCCGTTGTCTTTGTATTCCATCCAACACACTCGTCCTCTTCGTGCTCCCTTTTTTTTGCTTGAGTTTTGCCAGGAGCTTATGGTTTTTGACTGCAGGGCATTCTGGGATTTTTGCTTTACTTCCTGCTCATTAGGAAGTTGCCCTTATTGCTGTGGGTACATCTCTTTAGTCCATTCATCTATGGCTTTTGAATTATCAGCTGCAAATAAGTGGTTATTCATTCTCCTGTTCATCTCCAAGTCATTGACTTCCTTCAGTTTTCAGAGCAGACTGCCTTCAGGAGCAAATCAGAAGAATATTAGTGTTAGGATATGTGGGACAATACAAAAATTAGAAAATGAGGGGGAGGAAAGGGAACTTCTTGAGTATACAAGGAGTGGAAGAGCAATGAACATAAAGGTCTTTACATTTTGAAAGAGTAAAAGAATCTACTCCAGTCTTGGTTATAATTCCCATTATTAATGATTTTGAAGGTTGTTGCCCTCAGCAATGAGAAACACATAGACAATGTACCCTACACAACTGGAATGTCACCTGAGCTTGGGTTAGATTAATACTTATCCATCCTTATGGGGTTGTGTACTGAAGAATTTGTTCATATTACAAGATGTAAAACTGACCCTCAATTATTTTTTAATTGTGAGCTTTGCACATTTCTTTTTAAATTTGTCAATATACATTAGTTTTCAGCACTGAACTTTTTCCCCTTTTCTTGTGTACCAGGTTACCGAATGTCAGCACCACAGAAGTGCCCAGAAGAAATATATAAAATAATGCAGAGGTGCTGGGACTACCATCCCGAGAACCGACCAAAATTCAGTGAGATTCAGAAAGAGCTATCTTCAGTCAAAAAGAAAGTGACATAGTAATGTACTAGTGCCAAACTCAATATGTGGGACTTGATTTTCCATTGACGTATTTTTTCCCCTTAAACACTATGCGTTTATACAACATTATTTGCAATATTCATTTAGGATTACTTTAAAATTAACTGGTTTTTATATACATGTGTACCATCTTGAATTATGTCTACACCTGCATTAAAGACATATACTGCCAAATGCTATATATCCAATCACAGTAATATTGTCATTTAGGTTACATGTAAATAGGAAAGCAGATACTGTAGATTTAAGGAACTGTGGCTTTTATGTGTTTTACAGCAAGTAACTGCTAATTTTTCAGAGTTTTTCTACTTAACACAGTCTTCTCACTCTGCTGTCCCTGTCTCAGTTGTCAACACCAGCAGCTCTCTAACATGGTGACTGTGTCATGCATGTTGGCCTTAAGACTGAAGACAGTTTTGACAAGTATTTCAGCTAGAAATTTTTGTATTTTTCAAATTCTATCTGCAACTTATTTTTTTTTTTATGGTAGCTTGTTTCAAGGGTAAAGGTCAATTAGATCCTGGATGTAAGTTTGCTTACCAAACAACAAAATCCAGAAATTCTTCTGTAGAAAATTGAGCTACGTGTTCATTTCTTACCATGCTATATTAAGTTCTTATGACTTTTGATATTATTTACCTATGCCCTTTAGTCTACCCCTTTTTTTTCCTATGAAGCCATCAGAATTCAGTAATGTGTCTTCTTTAATTACCTATGTTTGTTTAAGAAACAAACAAAATAACAGTCATTGAGCACATTCATTATTAAGAGATACTGCAAATCATCTGTCTTCCAAAGAATAGGTGAAAACAATAGGCCAACAGAAAGAGGTTTGCTAATGATAGCAGCATTGTAATAGGTGACCAATAGCATTGATCTTAGAGGAGTTAAACAATGTGAATTTCTAGATTTGCTTTTGATCTGATGTTTTTCCCTTAAATTGGCAATAACCATCAGTGTGCTGTTGGAGCTTTTAAAAGGTTACACAAAAAAAAAGCACATTCCATGCATAGTGTTGAAGGGAAAACGCTATGTTTACATGGCATGAGGAATTATCCAAGAAGCCCGAATAAGAACGTTATATTTTAAGTCTGTGACAGGTAAAATGAAGCAGAGTAGAAATACTCACCTTCTAAATTTTTAAAATCATTACAATCAGGTTTTAAAAGATGGGGGATAGACAAATTGTAAATGTCACCAAAAATAAAGGAAACTTGTTAAAAAAAAAAAAAAAAGGTAACATTCCATAGTATAAGATACAGTAGACAGGGAAGAGGAAAGGTACAGTGTGTTGCTCTGACTTTATGTTCTCTTCATAGTGGGGATTATTTTCTTTTGTTTCTACATAGAAACAAAAACAAGTTACAGTACCCTGGTCCGAGCTCCAGAGTTAAGGTGCTTAAGATTTCTTCATGAATCAAATAAAATTTTTCAGATCAAGGAATGTCTGTTGCTGTTAATACAAGTAAACGGAGACTGAAAGTAACACAGCATTATTAGCCCTATATAGTGAAATCTGTGGCTACACTGCATTTTTATTTCCCTTAAGGCGGCTTTTCTATCATCCACAGAATTTATGCTCTTTTAAAGCATGTTTGTGGTAGTGCAGGGTGGTAATGATTAAGGGCTATGTGTGACAAAAAATATGTGTAATCTAAAAGAATTTGTCTGAGGGCTGCTCCAAAAGTAATGCATCCTCTTTTATTACGTTGGTCCATGACATCAGAGGCAGTTGATTGTGGTATGGCAGCAGAGGGGCAGCCTGACAATATGGCATCTGACATGGAAGTGTAGATGAAGCAAATGTGTGTCACTGAATTCCTCCATGTAGAAAAAATGGCACCCACTGGCATTCATTGATGCTTGCTGAGTGTTTGTAGAGCCTGAACAGTCAGGTGGTGGGTGGTGCATTTCAGCAGCGGTGCCAGCAGTTTACCTCCACTGGTGCAGGTTTTTATAAGCACAGCATGCAGGCTCTTGTTCTTTGCTGGCAAAGATGCATAGCTCATGGTGGTGCCGGTGTTCGGAATTAATGTATTGTAGTCGAGAATTTGCTCTATCAAATAGTGTTATTGTGCTCTTTGTATCTGTACTTTCCATGGAAGTCAGGGGGAGGCATTACTTCTGGAGCATCCTACATGCATACCCATTAAGGTGTAATACTTGGCAAACTTGATGGCCTGAATTGAAATTTCCTTATCAGGAAATTCCTTATACTGGACATATTTTCCTTATAAGGAAACTTCCTTATACTGGACGTATTTTCTTAGTACTGTATTTCCGAGTAGCCCAAAGATATTTTTCAAGAGCAGTGGGAAGCATTCTTGTTCATTTGTGTGCTATTAAATATTACACACAGTTTGTGCCTTAATTTGCTAGTATGTTAATGCAAATGCAAGTGCACTAAGATTAAGAAATGCACCACAACGATATGGAAAAATCCCTGTCTCAAATCTATTATTAATCCAACTGCTGGTCATTAGGTATGCACCAAGAAAGTCTGCAAGTAAGGGTAATGGTGTCTTCTCTATCAGCATTCATTGCTTCTCTGGAGAGTTGATCTTCTTCTTCTGTGAAAGAGATGAATTATGTTTCTTTGCTATATGCCCTGGATAGCAAAAAAAAACAAAAACAAAAAACAAAAAAACAAAAAAACAAAAACCAAAAAAAACAAAAAAAAACCTTCTTTTTCACGAAATACTATTTTATTTGTTCATCTTGATTCTCATATATAGATAAGAAATGCATTCTTATTTATTCTGAAATGATTAACATTTGTAATTCATATCACAGTTCTGTTTAAATGTAGTGTACTTCTTAAAAAATGGGGATAATTCAGCAGCAAGAAGATATATTGTTGCTGCTGAAGTCAGCATAAGTTCAGCTAAAAAATAATCATTCTTCAGGAGAATACCAGCTTGAGTTTAAAATAAAATAAATTATAACACATATAAAAGGTATAAAATAAATTTAAACACATAGTCTCTTCAATTATTTAATGCTTTTTTTTTTTTCTTTTTTTCTTTTTTTTTTTTTTACAATTAATTTTTCAGTGTTTGTGGCAGAATTTGTTCATCTTTTCTCATTTGTAGTTAATGCCATTATACTTTAGGAAGTGCAATCCCTACCTATGAATACTTAATCTCTAAGTTTCTATGAATTTCTTGCTGGAGGAGAGTTTACAAACAGAACTGCCCTATGGTGAAATGTAAGAGACAGACATAGTATTCAGGAGCCAAAGTCACCATATCTGCTTTCTATGAACTTTTGATGACTGAAGTCTTGCATTATGCATAGGTTGTGCAAGTATTGTGGCTGCATATAGCTTGTAGACTTGATTTGCTATGGAGAGTTCACAAAAAATGTCAGTCTCTCTTAGACATACAGTATTTCAAGTAGGTTCTTAAATCTGCACTCAGTCTCAGCCAGATGGAGTCCAAAGGAGTTCTGAACTGTGTACACTGCTAAATGGGAGGGACTCAGAATACTGTTAAGGGCTGAGCCCAGATGTTATCTTCAGAATTCAGCTGTCGGTGAAATCATGAGGATTCCTCAGCATTTCAATTTCATTGGAAGCAAAGTATTGAAAAGCATCATGTCTGTAAACAAACTCCCTTCAGCAGAGGTGTAATCTTTTAGAAGTAGCACTCCACCAAGACCTTATCCTTCAAATGTACATTTTCATCAGTTTCTAATAAAAACAATGAGGCAGTTTTTCATGTAGTGACTAAAGTTATTTTGCATTTCTTCTTCAGTTTGTAAAGTCTCATCCTGTTTATGTGAAACAGAGAACTAGTTAAGGAAATAGTAGCTTATTGTTTAATCTGTGTCTTTAACCACCTGTTATAATTACCCACACCTGAAGCTTACTATGATGTTATCCATTCATTATCTATTATGACTATTTTAACTACTTTGTTAAGCTTATTGCACCCATTGTAAAGATACTGTTGGTAAAAAGCACATGCAATAAATAAATAAGTAAATAAGTAAATAAACAAGTACTTCTCCTGAGGTTACATAGAATAACCAGAACCCAGAAGCATTTAAAAATGCTTTGCATCTCTTCCCAGATGTCCTGCTGCATGGATAGTACCAGTTGTCGTTAACCACAAAGCCTGTGTCCTTAGTCTGACTGTCACGTTCTCTACATGGCAGTGCCTCTGATGCATTTTCAACTGTGAATTACTGGAAGGGATGAGTTAGTGTGTAAATAGTGTCATCACAGATGATATTCAAGAGCATCACTTCTGGAGGTGGCTGGTTGTAACGAGCAGTGATAAATCATTCTAAGGATGGAATAAAAAGAAAGAGGCAAATAGGGAAAATCCACTTCCTGTAACAGCTGTCTCATTTGTGGGCAGTGCTAATGTTGTTACAGCAGTGCACTTGTATTTGTAACGTTTTTACGACTAAGAGTAAATTAGTTTGCTGTTAAAATAAGAGTTCATCAATTACTATTTTTTTCTTAAAGCATAAAAGAACTCGTGATATTCTTGTCAGGCTATTTCTTGGATATTGTGGAGGGAAGAATACACAGAGGATGGAGAGATGCCCCTTGTACCAAACAAGGTATTTTCTTTTTCTTCTTTCAGAAATAAAGAGCTTTAATTAGTAACAAAAAAGCACAGAGGAAGTCCTGTATTCCTGAAGTTCTAAGCAATCATGGTTTAAGAGTGGTCTGCTAAATCAGCTCTATTAAGCAGGTTTTCTTCTGATTTCTACCTGCAGAAATGACTGTAAGAATGGAGTCATTAAACATTCACAAGTTATGGCTTATAAGAAAAAAAAGCATTAACAGCAACACCTATCATCTTTCTATAAGAATAACATCAGTGAAGAGTATTTTTTGTAGTCTTACACTAGAATCCCCCCAGCACAGCATTTCTTCCTAAAACGCAAAAAGAAAAAAGAAAAAAAGGACACCAAAAACACCAACAGGAAGATGTTTACTTTTACCCACGTAAAAGTCTCACACTGAAAACCCAAAAATCCGTTGCCAAATTTTGAATGCTCTTTCTAGTGTTGTCACTGATCCTTCACTGAAGCAGATAATGCAGCTGTGGTTTCAGCTCTGTCCATTTCTCAGCATTGCATATTTGTGCACTATAAACACTCAGCTTCACTTGCAGACTTGGCTTGGTGAGAGTGTTCCTAAATTGCCACTATTTGGAATTGCCATCTAGTTCTAGGACTACAAAACCTTACAGACCAAGTACATAGCTGACATTTTTGAGTTCTGAAAGAGGTGCATCTTCCTCCATTTAAACCATCCAAAAAGTTGAAGCATTTCTGCTTTTTAAAAGAAAAAGTCAGATTTCTTCTAGATTGCATGTGTTGAAAACATGTGCAAGGACCTTCCACTACTGAAAAAGCACAGATCCACATTGTCATCTCTATTTATAGTCAGCTCAGTCTTTCCTAACATATGAAGAAATGCCTAATTATCAAATTCAGTAGTAATATGAAACATTGGTTTTGTTACGTAAACCACTCAGATCCTGTGCTTGAATTATTCAAGATCCTTCCACTGCTCATGGTGTGTGGGGGGTAATTCCAGCTGAGCTCTGCTGTAGTGCTCTGCGCCCTGCCTCTCTGAACTGTTCCTTAGTTCTGACACTGCCACATACCACACGTGGTGCCTGTCACTTAATCCAAGGAAGTTACTCTTGCGACAGAAAAACTTCAAATGTATCGCTGGCTTAGTTTGACTCAAAAATATTATAGTGCCATTATACTCTCCTGTGGCAACATGTTTGTGTGAAGACTGAACTCACTGTGAATTAAGGTGAAGCGCATCGTCCAAACTGTGTTTCCAATCGTGCTACAAATCCTGGGTGTATCATGAATTGTACATACCATAAAAGACACTGAAAAACAGCATTCCTGACTGCCTGGTTTGTGGTACAGAGCATCCCGCTCACATGGAAAAATTATGAAGCTAATTGCACTCCTGGAAAAAGGGATGATTTGCTGACAGACCAGATACAAAATGCTAGCTTTGAAATTAGTAGCAATGACTTAATTCTCACTAAACCTCCTTGTAAATATGCCTTTTAATTGCCAGGAATTTCCTCTGAGTGTTGATTTGCATTATTTATATCCATTTTTCTTTTATAAATTTGACTTCCATATGTGATACAGTGTTTACTTGTGCTGGTAGTTTTATCCACTACCTCCAAATACTGAGACGTGCAGCTTCAGGAGCTGATCGTTGCACAGTCTGCAAATTCTGCAGGGAGTCAGTCTTCCAGGAGGTGTCCAAGTTGATACATCTTAAGGCTTTGTAAATATCAGCAAAAGTAATTGTTTCACTTCAAACCTGTTGCAGTTTGAACAGCAATCTTCCTTATAGGAAACACCACTTTAGTAGTAGCATTTGCGTTTTATTTGAGTTCAACAAGAGGGTAGAACTCTTCAGTGCAAAGGCGTAGTTGGTTGCACCATTCTAGTGCAAAGGAATAGCTCTCACCATGAAAGTGAATTGCTAGGTTCCAATTACAATGGCTAGGTGCCCTTGGCCATGCTGGTACATGGCATGGATGTGGCCAGGTTGCTGTAGGAAGGGCCTTGACGTCTGCATGGGACACTTCTGTAGAACACTTAATGCTCGCTGCAGTCCGCCAACAAACCTGCTGGTGAGGGGAAGCTTGCTGCATGGTGAGTTGTGGCTGATTGCTGGCATTGCCTGAGCTTGTGCATAAGGGAAGAGCAACAGCATTATTTCATTGTCACTGTCCAGGCAAACGGAAGAAGAAATATGCGAGGGGGAGCTGGTATTCTCTTTCCTTCCATCTTCTGTTTAGTCATGTTACAGATTCAAACCTCCAACAGAGCTACGCACTAGGGAAAATGTTCGTGTTCCTGCTGTTGTGTAACCTGTAACTGACAGGTTAACCGGATGGGTTTTTTTCCAAAAAACACCTAATAGGAAGAAACAGGCTCATTGCACAAGGCACAAAAGTCAGGCAGACTCCTAAAAGGAAATCGTTGAGGACTGAAACCCCAAACACTTGTCCTTTCTGTAGAAGGTCTGTATAGATTCGTGCTCATCCAAAGGATTCCCATAGAGTAGTCTGGGGCTAACTGTTCTAAGATGCCTGCTTTTCAGCTGCAGGTGTTTCTTTTCCTTTGTGCCATTGCAGCAGCTGGGAATGGCAGAGGGGCACTGAGGGAGGGCCGGGTTCACGGAACCACGTGCAAGGGATCCTCAACACCACTGATCATGAGTAGGTTACAGCTTGCAAACAAACTTTCTTTTCCAGTTTGTGCCTGAGTTAAACACCAGCAAGTTTAATATCAGGTAAAGCACCTTTTATGCTCCTATTGTTTAAAAATAATATTGTGAAACATTGGTAATACATAACACTGGAAATGAGTGCATGGATAGTAACACATGTAAATACAAACAAAAATACCCCACATCACAAGTTCATCTGACTTCTAAGCAAGACTGAAATAATGACTATGTAATACAGTTGCCAGTTGTCTGTCCTTTATAATTTTAAATAGATCTGCAATCTAACTCCATTTGTTTGCCATTTTTTTATATACTTTAAGGTTACCCTTTTGAAACTTCAGCTAACTTTTTTATTTTCCTAGGCTGATACAAAACAGAATTCTTGTAAACTGCAGGCCATTTTTGAATAATGCTCTGTCTTTTCTCATGGACAAGTTACATGTCCCCTTTTTACTGTACTCTTCCAATAAATGTAAAATATCTGTATCAAGCTGTCTCATTTTACTTCATATTAAAAAGATGTATTCATTCACTTGCTCTGTAGCCAAAAGAAGATCTAACAGTGCTCAGGGGAATACAACAATTCAAAGTAGTCTGCAGTTCTCTAAGAAAGAAAATCAAATGTTCAGGTTTGTTTGTTGGGTAGTTGTTTTCTTTGGCAACTTCAGGATTTACCCCTTTGATCCTTCTGCCTAGTTTGCCTGTCACTTGTCTCCTCTTTTAATTGGGAAGAGACAAGAAGAGTAACCAAGTCGGCACAAGTGGAAGAGGTTTGAAACCTGGGGCTTTAGCTCTGCAGTGCTGATGGTGGTGTAACACCACGCTCATTTTAATTCAAGCTAGAATTACACTAAAGAGCAAAGCTCTGAAAAGCGAACATCCATATTCTGCAAAATCCTTCCTCTTTCTACACACATTTCCAGTTAAGAGCAATGCAACAATGCAAATGCATTCTATACTGTTTATTTTGCATGATTTAGTGCTCTGTTCACTTGATATGAAAAAAAATTGTTGCTCACAGTACTCATTTTAAATATTTTGATTGTTTAGATCTATTTTATACTTTACTTCAAGAAACCAATCATGGTAATAATTCCCATTTTTACCATGCTTTGATGCAGATTCTTCTATTTCCATAATCACTTTTTAGTGTTAGCTAATACGAAGTCTGTAATTCAGAAGTTATGGCTGAGGTAAGAAAACAGAACTATTATGCTACAAAAAAAGATTTAAACATCTTTTCAGATCTCATGGTTATAAATAAGTCACTGAAAGAACTTTTCCAGCTGCCTTCTGCTCCCTGCAGCTGCACCTTGCTCGAACACCCAGCACCAGGGGAGTGACAGGCTTTGTGTACCCACGCATTTTAAGGAATTAAATATTACTGTTCCCTCTTACAAACTCTTTGAGGGTACTTTTGTGCACCGTCTCCCAATAACCATTCCTGAGAGAGATGTAAGTTCAAAGCTCATCCC